AGGTGGCCGGGGCCCGGGAACAGCCGGCCCAGGGAGGTTGTGGAGTCTCCTTCTCTGGAGATATTCAAGCCCTGCCTGGAGGAGGTCCTGTGCAGCCTGCTGTAGGCGACCCCGCTTTGGCAGGAGGGGTGGACTAGATGACCCAGAGAGGTCCCTTCCAACCCCTACCATTCTGTGATTCTGTGATTCCCCCTGCGGGGCCCCCACATCTGGCGAAAAGCAGGACGGGCTCGGCAAACATGCCTCATCCTTTACCCTGAGGGACCAGGCACCAGAGCCAAATTTGCCATCTGGTTCGTGGCTATGTGATGAAGCACCAAGTTGTGTTTTATCCCCCGCAGAGACACAGGTCCCTCTGAAAATCACACCCGACGCATACATGAAGACACTGGACTCAGTGGAAGACGAAGGGCTCATCCACATCACCACCATTGCCGAGGTCCAGGAGACGAATGACAAACTCACCAAGGAGATGACGATGAACTTCGAGTACCCCCCCATCACCGTCCAGGTGAGGCTGCGGCCAGCCTGGCTCCTCGGGGATGAGGGTTAAAGCCCTGCTCACTGTAACACCATGGTGGTGGTAGCGTGGTGGTAGCAGTCCCAGGCCCAAACAGCTGCCTTCTAGGATGCTCAGTCCTCGTGTTTTATTGGGTTATTCAACCTTTATGTGATGGTTGAAAGCAGCCATGAAACGAAGGTTTTATTGCCCTGTGTAAAACAGACAGGCAGGGGCTGCTGGAGGGAAGGGGACGGAAGAGGACAGTTTGTACGAGGCCCGTCTCTGACCCCACAGCTCTACCTCTTGAAGGAAAAACAGGTCGAGAAACCAGAGAGAAGAGCTGGGAAAACAGCTGGCCGGGCAAAGCACACCATGCTGCGGGAGGGTCGGCAGGATACGAGGGGTTGTCCCCCACCACGCTGGTGGTGAGGAGCAAATTGGCAGCAGGTCCGGCGTCTTTATTACCACTCTGATCCCCAGCATTTGGGTTTGTTTCTGTCTTTCCTCCTCTGCCAGATGCCAGAAAAGGCCAAACTGAACGAGGAGTTCCGCTGTGCCTTCATCTTCAAGAACAAGCTGAACATAGCCATGGAAAACTGCAAGCTGCTGGTGGAGGGCTTGGGCATGTTTAAGATGTCAACATTTGATCAGGGGTAAGGCGATGAGCCCGGTATGAAGTGCGGATTCTGCTTTGTTTGGTGGGTTGTTTTGTTTTTTATTTCCCTTGAAGAAGCAGTTAGGGGATTTGCAGTAATGCTGCCCTTTGAAAGCCACGTTTGAGACTGCGCCGCATTTGGGCTCAGTCCCAGCAGCAGAAAGACCCACGCAGAGGTTGGCGGGGCAGTTGGGTACGACGGGTGCCAGCAGTGATGCTGGGCACAGCCTGGCCAGCAGGAACGCAGCTGCTTCCTTCAGAGCTGAACTCAGAATTTCGGCAGTACGGGACGGTCTCGGAGGGTTCTCAAGGAGCACCAGGACCACCAGCCAGCACTGCCGTGCTGAGCCCCACTGGCTGCATGTCGGGCATCAAAGAAGGGAAACACTCACCCTAAACACACACGGTGGCTATTTTGTTAAGCAAAACGATTCGAAAGCGGCAAATGAGAACCATAACTCATGCTGGAACTATTTGCTTTTTCTTTCTCCTTAGAGACCTAAAGCCTGGCAAGATCATGAAGTCTGAAATAATATGCACTCCTACGAAACTAGGAGAGAAGAAAATAGTAGCCAAGCTGACCTCGACCCAGATCAAAGCGATCTCTGCAGAGAAGGACATAATCATCACTGAGTAGGCTCGGTGACTCGGCAGGGTGTAAATGGTGGCCCACTAAATGCGCAGCACAGCCGCGTGGCTCAGGCACTGCTTGCCTCCTTGATTGCTGGATAGTGCTCTCCAAGCAGAGGGCAAAAAATCCCATTAAGATACGGGAATTAAACTGACTTACACGGCACAGTTGCACTGATTGCAATTAATCACGATTCAATAAAGGTCGTTAAAATCGAGTGTGTGATTGGGTTGTATGGTATCGCCTGGTTGGGATGGCTCCGAGCCGCACAGAGGGATGTTCCCACCCCAGGCTGGGGATCCGAGCTCACCAAGGTACCAGCGGTGGGTGCGAGCCCAGGAGGTTTCTGCAGGCGCCCAGCTGCCCAGGCTGGCAGCACTGCAGTCCTGCGCGGGCAGCCACCCAGGGACCTCACCACGCCGCTGCCCACTGCGCGGCCCAAGGAACGTTTCAAGCCCACCCCGCTCCCTCTCAGGCAGCTAGCTGAGGAACATACTGGCATGTGCCTTTTTTGGCTTTAGGCAACAAAAAAAGCAAACGTGGCTCAGTCTCCCCAAACAGCGTTTTCCACACATCTTCCTTGCCTCCCACCCAGTTTCTTTTGGGGGGTTTTGGGGAATTTTTGGAAGAAGTACCATCTCCAGCACCATTACGAGTGCTTCCCCAGAAATGTATAACCTCTATCCTTCCCCTACCACCCTGAACACCGCTGGATTACACGTGGGACCTTGACAGTGGCGTACGCCTGGAGCTCTTCCAGCCATAGTCACGTCGAAGGAGGCAACAGCTGTGCACAGCTGGAGCCCACCAGGCCCTGCTGCTGAGCTGCACACCCCAGCACCTCTCGAGCCCACCAGCGGCGAGGGACGGCTCTGCTCCGCAGCATCACCGCAACGTGGCCAGCAGCAGTACCAGGTGCTGGGGTTTCCAGCGTTTCCATGAGCAAAGAGGAAAGTGAGCCACACAGTAGTACAGGGGCTTATTTATTTGTTTATTTAAAAGGCAAATGCTCAAGAATCAGGGCTGTGGAGTAGAAAAAAGAACTGGCAACTACACCTGGTTATGTGCCAGCCCACAAAAAGGGAAGAACAAACGAGAAAGGAAGAGGGGAAACAAGAAGGGGGGAGAGGAAAAAATGGAAAGGGGGGGGAAGAAGAAAGGTTTTGATCACTCCCTTGTGTTTCAAACACATGGGGAACCCCTGGAGGAGCGCCCAGGCAGCTGCTGGGCCACAAAAGGTGGTCAGGGGGGGGCCCCCACCCGCCCCTCTGCCCACAGGTGTCCCAGCAGCTGGGTCCCCTTGAGGCCACCTCCTATGGTGGCACGGCAGGGAGCCAGAGCTCCTCTCCACAGGCAGAGCGACCGCAGGGAAGAGAGGAGCAGGCAGTCCTTGGTGGATGGAAAAATTAGTTCTTTAATAAGTACAATAGTGACCAGAGGCATAAAAAGGAGTTACAAACAGCAAAATATATATATTTTCAAGAGATGTAAGTTCTTTACTTGCATAGAAAACCTGTTGTAGAAGACACAGGATAAGTACAAGAACGCTTTTCATGTCTGCCATGACCCTGTCCATCACGTATTGCCACCTCGCGCTGGAGCAGCGGTGGGTCTCCAGCGGATCGCAGCACACCGAGCGCCCTCGAGGAGCACCCTCCCCAGGCCCTGGTGAGCCAGCCAGCACCCGAGCAGCATGGACTGAAGATGAAGGCACCACTTAACAAAGGCCACGGAGTGCATGGAGGGGAAGGAAAATGGTGGGTTTGGTTTCAATGTCACGAAAACCACATTTGGTCTCAAGCTACCAGGTAGTCATTAAAGGAGGAGGTTTATGCCAGAGCTGTGGGTAAAACAGATTTTTCCAACTCGTGAGGGCTTTTGCAGTTTCTGACGGTTGCCACACCACACCGAGTCAGAGGAGATACACCGAGGAGTACTGCGACTTTGGGGGGGAGGAAAAGGAGCGATGACAAGGGAGACCAACAGCCAAGGGACACCAGAACCATCAACGCACTGGACATTGGAAGCCACCCTGGTCAGGTGTCGGAGGGCACCAGAGCTGGGGCTGGGCTGGCTGCCCACGGCTCTGCGTCGGGCACAGGGACATGTCCCCATCTCTACTCCGACTGCAACTGCGCTGCGGGAGGAGGGGAGACGGCTGTCCTGGCTCTCACCCCCCTCTTCACACCGCTTTTCCGTTTCAGCTATTAAAAAAAAAATAAAAAGCCCAGAAATAGCAGAATGCCAGCCCCTGAGGAAGAACACGAGAGGTGGGAAGCGGAAGCGAAGGACGCCTGTTCTCAGGATGAGGTGAACTAGGTTTGAGAGCGAAGGAACAAATACGCTGCCTCCATCCGTGCCCACCTGGAGCCACGTAAGCGGGGTCCGCGTCCTGGGAATTGTCACCAAAATGCAGTGCGAGGGGGTCTCTCCCGAGCCCACGTCCCCATGCTCCTGCCTCAAGGTGACTTCCGGCCATTAACTAGTTTCTCCCCCCTGGACCTCGTAGCACCATTCCCACTGCAGACACGGCACCAGAGGCAGGGACATTAACTGGGTGCACAGGCCAAGCAGCAACACAAAATTAGAAAACATGAGCTAAAAAGGGCACTCTTACTTTTCCTCCTTCAACACCCCTATTGCTCCCTATAGGAAATACCTTATGGATCTGCGTATCTCCCTGCTGTCCCTCTCCTGTGGGACACTGGCAGAGAGGAACGTCGGCTGGTGCAGCAGCAGGAGAGCTTCTTCCCTCCCTACCACACTGCTGGCACAGGGCAAAGACATTCAAGACTTCCCATCTAAATGACATGAGAGGACACCTCTACTCCCCCCAAATGGAGGGTGCTTCCCTCTACCTAAAAGGTTTTCATAAATACATGGTTCCTAATGATTTTTTCTAAATCTCGTTTTCACCGGCAAAGAGGAGACATCCAGAGGGGACAGGGGATGGGGCAACTGTTTGGAAATACCCCCTGGGTTTTAGCCAAGCTGTGCTCCTAACAGCCACGGCACTCGGCTTGTTCCCAGTTCCTTTGCCAGAAAAAGGGACCGCTGGGGCAGAGGACAAGTCCAGGAGAGAGTCTCATCCCTCCACAGCAGCCCTGAGTGTCACACCACTAATACATATTCAGATGGGGTTTGGGGGGGTTAGAAAAAATCTTGCACAAATTCCATTTGGTATTGCTTCCACAAATAATAAAAACTTAATCTAGGACTTTTACAATAGCATGCTTTCATCCCCCAAACTCCTTTCTCTTACTTTCCAGAGGAAGCAATTTTCTTTGGTCCGTGTCACAGGGGAGGGGAAGATAAAGTCCAACATGTCCCAGGGGGGAAAAACTAGGAGCATGCCTCTAACACGCTGCAAAATTTACTGACAATTAAGCTAAGGGAGATGACAAGAAGAAAAAAAAAACCCAACAACTGAAACCCAGCCCTAATTAAAACTACACTGACATCTGGAGCGTGCCAAGTGTTTGTAGCACATTTGAACGCAGCGGCAAGCGTCACCTCTGCGTGACCCTGCGGCAGCTATTGCCACCTGCAGTGACGCCTTCCTCGAGCCACGCATGTTCCTTCCACGCATCCGTCAACGTTTACCGGGAGCTGGCTGCAAAACCCGCGTAAGGAAACCCCGCATCACGGCGAGTACTGACAGGGCAACGTTAAACACCAGTAAGATTAATAGGCAATATTCATTCTCAACTAAGTCTTGCTATTGAAAAGAAAAAAAGAAAAACAAAAAAAAAGAGAGAGACATCTGAATTAGGCAAGTCACATGGAGAGCGCCGGTACCTCCATCAGCAGGGTGCTCACACCTCTGCTCCTCGCCCGCAGGAACAGCCCCGGAGCCTGGCCCAGACCAGCCGCCTGCTTTCTGGGCTGCAGAGTTTGGCCAGGCAGTGCCCTCTCCACACGTCCATCCCACGTACCACCACCAGTCTTGGGCAGCCACACGGGCACAAGGGTTTCAAATTTACCCCCGGAGATATTCTGGAGCCCAAGGGATTTATAGCCAGGGCGAGCTCACCCCTCTGCTGCGTCCACAGCCTGGTATCCCATCCCTGCTCAGACCTGAGCACCAGCAGCTTTCACAACCCAGAGGCAGCACCCATGGGATGAGCTAAAAAGGATGCGTTTTTCAAGAAAATCTTTAGACCTGGGCTAATCTGGCCATTATGCAGGACTTACCCTTTAGCCCTTCAAAAGGGTGTAAGAACAAAAGATTAAGCAGACTCCTTAGGACTGCGCGTTTCTAGGAGCTGGGCCCAATCTATCCAACAACTGCAAACTTTCCTTTAAGGCCAACTAAGAAAAGCTCAACAAAGCAACTGACTCAGGTCCAGAAAGAGCTGATGAATCTCATCGGTCACAAAGCTTTCTCTGGAGATTTGCATTGCTTCTGCTAGTGCTGTACCTGGCTGCCGGATAAACACTCCCAAATTATTTAATGCACCAAAAGTATGTTAAAAAACAACCTCTTAACTCTCCGGCACAATTAGCTATTAAAAAGAAAAAAACACCTGAAAGCTGCTCCTGAAATCTTGGAGGATGCTTCCCTCATTCATGTAACACCTGGACGGCAACGTCTCGAGCGAGAAACTGCTCGATTTCTTCTTGGGTCATTATTGCAGACGCAGGAGCTGCTGCCACCGCTTCGGCCGGCACCGGGCTTTCGCAGTTCAGGTTCGAAAAAGGGTTGAACCAACCCAAGGAGAAGGCACCGCCGAACGCCAGCTTCATTCCCTCCCAACCGCTGGTCTTCTCCCAGGTCGGCTGCTGATTTTTGAGACGCTCAATACCCTGCAAGAAGAGAAGAGCTTGGGTTCATCTCACACCTACAGCAGGTGTTTGTGCACCAGCCCCCGTAGCGCGTGCGAAACTGCCCGTCCACAGCTGGGCTGTTGTTCAGGTTTTAGTTAACAGCGAAGACAGATGTCCCGCGTCACTGAGAGCTTCACAGGAAACCTGAAAACAAGACCAAACACATGGACAATCTGAGTCTCGGTGACTGACTTTGACACAAGTTGCTGTTGACTTTCATGGTAAAGAGATGGCTTCTAAAAAGCCCTCCCTGTTGGAAACTCGCACCTCTTCTCCCGATGCTTCTGTAATCCCTCCAAGGAGTAACAAAACACAATTACCACTTAAAGTTTCACCTTATTTGGGCATATTTACAAGAGTTCAGATACAAACAAAACACTGCAACTTTTTCCAGTCATCAGCAATTTAGCACAGCCGTATCTAGGCTCATCACCAGAAGCTGCCATAAGAACAAGCTCACCCTCTGCCAGTGAAGAGCAAATATTTAAGAACGCAATTTCCATTTGACCAATTGCCAAAGACAAACCACGACACAAGCGGGTGCCCGCTGCGAGGGGAGGAAATCTGTAGGGGTGGAAGAGGAGGCTTGATGGCGGGGCCGGAGCCTCGGTCCATCAATATTCTGATTCATCCTCCCTCCAAGAACTTCACTTTCAGCAAAGCAAACATTTTGATTGCATTTAAATAACACATCCTTCAAATCTGGGCAGCGACATTTTTTTCCGGCAGTCTTCTCCACACAGACATAAGGAACTAAGAATTTTTTTTTTTTAAGGCTACCGCAATGAGAAACAGGGCACAATTTTTTCTGCCCATCTTCTGCATCATGTAAGAGAGGCTGCAGATCCACAGCTGTATATGATACACTCATGATAACACAGCAGTGACCACGTAGGAACACTGTTCTTAGAGAGGCAAGAACACCGGATCCCAGTTTTGAGGCACTCAGGGAAAGGAAAAATGAGCAAATTCAGTTAAAACCGTTTTAGAAGAGCTGGATGAAAAATACACTTGTCACATTCTACTCCCGCAGATTTTCCCTAACGATGCACAAAACTTTTCAAAGCTTCGCAGGGGGAAAAATGAACGCAGGCAACAGCTCAGCAGCCCCACCGCTGCCCTCGCAGTAAGATTTATAAATAACACAACATTTCAGCACAGCAGCAGCTCGATTCTCTGGCAACACTGAGTCAGCACGAGCAGGCCCGGGAGAAAACACACCACAAACCGAGGAATTACGCGCAAAGCTCTTGTAAGCTTCATTTATGCCTCGTTTCTCGTGCTGACTTAGGAGAAATCCAGCAGCGGACGCGGAGAAAGAAATGACACGATGCCAAAATGGAAGTCTTCAGGGTTGCAACCTCGGGAAGCATCCAAGCCCCGAAGGACAGACGTGCACCTCACAACGCCGAGCACAGGCGCACGTCCCTGCACTCCGCCGTCATCACAGGCACAATCCGGTTTTATCCATGCCGCCATCTGAATCGGGATCTTGAACACTTCTGGGCAGCAACCCCTCTTCCCCCTCCAAAAACCCCCGTTCACCTGCTCTGGGGAGCAGCTGCCAGCCAAGGCGACAGGCAAGGTCAGGCTGAGGTTCTACTGCGGCCGGGTTCGGGAGCAGTCAATCAGAGCGGGCTGGGGTGTGCTTTCTCTCCCCCAGCCCGACCTCATTAATCCCTTCATGGCACGCACGGAAAATGAGCCAAAGTTTTAAAAATCGCCTCCTGGTCTAATTTTGGCTGTTTGCCCCACAGTCGGTAGGGCGTGAGGTTTTGCCTTAAAAAAAATTTAAGGAGGATGGAAGGAATGCACAACTGTCGAAGACATTTCATTACGGTTTAATGAAATTTTTTTTAAAAATATATTTACCCAAAATCTCTCATCACTATTTTAGAAAGTGAGAATTTTGTACTTCATTAAACCAACACCTGTTTCTCTTTCTCATCACGCAGCTATTTTACTGTAAAAAAGAAAAGTGCTCCAAAAGCATCATCTTTCACTGTTCCAAATGACGTAATTTTGAACAAATACTGAAAAGAGAAAACATACACAGAGAAACACAAAAAACTCCAGACTCTCATTTCAGTCAGAGGTACAACGCTGCAAACACGGGGACAGCAAGACAAGGCTGACCTGTCAGCACTGCAATGCTGTAGGATACACCCCGCTTCTCCCGCTATTGCCCTCAGCATCTGCTCCTGCGCCGTGCCAGAGGAGGCTGCTGGGCTGCGCCGCCCGACCCAGAAGCGATCTGCAGGACAGTTCTTGCACGTTAGAAGAAACGCCTTCATTTCTTTTAATAGGCTTTTAATAACCAAAAAGGAAAGAGCGAACAGAAGAGGCAAGCATTGTAACCATCTGTCCATCAAGGGGAAGGCGCAGGAAGCGTTGCTATCAGAAATTGTGATTTGGGCCGACTTTCCCTGCCGGAGCACCCTGCACTCCATTCTCCTTGGAGGACCACTTTGCTTTTCCAAAAAGAATTACCCTGCCTCTAATCGAGATCGTCCTTCTGCTTCTCTTGGCCACACTAAAACAGAACTAGCACCTGAAATCAGGTAGCCCTGCCTGAGAAGATACTTCCCATCAGGACATCAGCAAGTCCGCCTCTCGTATCAACGCTGCCCCACATTTAGTTTCATTCCAACTGCGTCACGTTGCACCACCAGGTCGCACAGTGCAGGTAAAGGGCCCCCGGTTACCGAGACACACCCGGCAGGTACTGACGGACATTGCTGCAAGCTGTGATGATGCCTCATTTAAAACAAAAACAGACCAAAAAATGTCAATACTACACAACGCTATTTAACAATTCACATTTGTTTGAAACAGGAAAAACTGACCAATTACCTATTTTTTCACAATGGTCAAAAACACCAGAACAATGTAATCAACATTCCTCCAAAACGCACAGAGAGTAAGGGTAACTGCAATAAACCAGAACTGGAACGTGCACCGGTGGAGTTTGCATAAAGCAATGAACTGTAGAGAGAGGCGGATTCATTCGTTAACTGCCTCAGTGACTAAAGAGCCTCCCCTCAATACATTTGATTTTGCATCAACACAGTTTCAGGGCTGGATTCTCTACCAGTCCAAGTTACCACCTGCAAGCATCTCACTAGCCGAACTGATCCTGGCCAAAGATCCAGCCTGTAACTATCCAGCTGGGAGCGTTCTCTGAAAAACACCACCGCATACTAAAATCAGAGCTTATTAACTTATTAACAACAGCTTTCCATTACTGGCAGTATCAGCATTATAAGAACAAAACCTAAACTTTTCTTCGCTACAGCAGTGTGTGGGCAAAGGTTCCTCCACAGCCTTCCCACCAAGCCTGCGGCTCCCCGCGTGCAGCCCCGCAGCAGAGATCACAGCGCACTCCTGACGGTCTAACCCTGAGCACGCAGGGCTGCCCGAACAGCCCACTTGCGCAGCGGAGCAGCTACCGACAGCCTCTTCCAAGTGGTGAAATAAAACCACTGATTAACAGATCAGTGTATTACTGATTAGCTAATTTTTAAACTTAAAAGTTGAACGCTCAATTAACCTTCACATGCTTCTGCATGTTTGCGTACAGAAGTGAAAGTTCAGAGAACTGTTACAGATTTTTCCCAACGTTTGAAGTGAAGAAAGAAAATAAGAGAAAACAGGTTTTTGGAAAAGTTTTATTGCATTTGTTTTCCATATGGAAGCATTGACAGATTGAAAAGATGCAGCATCCACATTACTTCCAAAAGAGACATCCATTACATTTCTCCTTCCCTGATTTCCCTCCCTTCCCCCATGGCTTTGAAGCAGTCTAAACAGGACATTTTCAAACAAACAAACAAACAAAAAACAAACCATTTTATTTTAAACCAAGGAAAGAAAAGATTCCTTGGAAGTCATGGACACACTGATTTGTATTTCACCTTTGTTTGCAATTCATTTGATGAGCCCATGGGAGTCATAATCCAAAAATATAACAAAATTTCTGCCTGAACACAAGGAGTCAGTTGTAGTTATGAATGGTTTAGCTCTACACGTGTTTGGAATGCCTTCTGTCCCTCCCACTTTCATCACCACACAGTTTGTAACAGTCTGCATACTCCTTACCATCAGTATTTCCCAGTTTAAAACACACATACACGTGTGTGTCTCTACACACACAGACATGTATGCATAAGTACGAGAGAAGATTTACAAAGCTCTGAACCAGAACAAAGCTAAGAATATGGAATCAATCACCCCGATACACCTATACATCCCATCAATATTAGCCTTTATAGCAATCTGTCTGCCCTCTGGGCATTCACGTCAGTTTTTCACATTAATGCTGTTTAGCAGTCATTGCTCTAACAACTCATTTACCAAGACAAACACACACAAACAAGGTGATTCTGCTATTCTAAACACTTGAAAATTAGATTTCTTTCTTTCCTGCAAGTGTAAGGCATTTAATAATCCAAAGGGTCTTCTAAATCTGCCACAGTTACCCTACGAGGGCAACAACTTCCTGCACAAAAGGGAGGGAACAGACAAAATAATGCCAGAAAGATGGAATCAGTTCTGTGGCTGGAAGCAAAAACAAGGGTGGGGTGGGAATTGGTGTTGGCAACACTTGTCATAAGTACTTTAACTGTAGGCAATCACCAGGTCAACTGGCTCTCTCGCTGTGTCACGTTCTCGTCTTGCACCTTTTGGTAAGTGAAGTGTCTGCTTCCCCGTTCAGGTTCACTTAGGAAAGAGCAATGTGCTCCTTCAGGAGGTCCAAAGTCTGTGTGGGGCTGTTGGCACTCATATGTCTTCCACAGAGCTCATCACAGTCAGGAGACAGCATAAGAATCTACTCAGAAGAGGTGGGTCACAACAGAGAAAGAGGATCCCCTTCACATTAGTTATGCCATACAGAAAGCAGAGAGAAACAAAGGCCAGTAAAGTTAACAAGATTAAAAAAAAAAAAAAAAAAAAAAAAAAAAAAAAGCACAAGCAATTTAACCCACAGAAATAGAATT